GTTCCTCAGAACTCCTGAGGACATTTCTTTTCTTCTGGGTCAGTGGTCCCGCCCTGATTTTAAATGAGAGGTATTCCACATGCAGAAAGTGTCCGTGTTTTCTCTTTGTCTCCTGGGTAAGGGATTGTTTCTCTCATAATTTCCCAGGCAGCTTTTCCATTAGCTGATCCTTCTGCGAGCTAAGTCTTCTGCATTTCAGAGGGGCTGGTAGAAAAGAAGCTCACCCCTTGATACTAAGAGATCCTGAGTCCTTGTGAACTAGAAATAGAATGGCCACCAGGGCTGCCCTACACAGGCCTGGCCTAGGGGTGGCCTGGGGCCTGTGGTCCTTTGGCTCTGCGGTGCAGTGGTTAAACATGTCACTCCTAACCAAAAGGTTGGCATTTTGAATCCATCAGGCACTATGTGGAAGAAGGATGTGACAACGTCCTTCTTTTAAGAATTGTAGCCTTGGAAACCCTGTGGGTGACTAAGGGTTGCTAAGAGTCAGAACTGACTCAGTGGTGGCATTGCTGAGATCTCCCATCTCTTCCTAAACCAATACCTCCTCCTTCCCTCAGGCCTGGTTCAACTTCCTCCCTGGCTTTAGTGCAGCAAGATGTTACTTTCCTCCTAAATTCTCTCAACCACAGGTTTTTTTAAAGTATTTGTATACTGTGTAAACAGAGATTATACAGTGTATGAACATGCTGATCTACAGGAATATTTGCAGAATGCAGAAATGAATGAATAAAGGAAAGACATAAGAAACATTTTTAGAAATTATTTACAAATTACCAAGTATGCACCTATGAGGTCAGATGCTTTAGTCAACTGAAGTGAGAGCCACTGCTTTAGGAAACATATAGAATTTATCAATGGAAATTATAGCCTATCACTACGAAATAACATGAGGAAGCATCAAAAAGTCAGGTAAAAATATAATTTAAAAAAAAGCAATTGTCCCACACACTTGTTGAAGCTTCCTTGCACATATATTCAAATGACAGAAAGGTTGGTTGTCCATGAGGCATTTTCTTCAAAATTTTTAGGAAACTCTGTGATAAATAGATTCCATATTTTGATATGAGGTAGACCATGATCGGAGCCATTTTACATATTCAATGAAATCCCATGTAATGTGTTTGATTTCAATGTTATGAACTTTGAAACACTGGGTGAGAGACACAAGTGTTTTACTCATCGATTTTTGCCTGCAGTGATCTCCAGGAAGTCATTTAGACACAGCTGTCTCAATTTCAAGGCCCCTTTACTTCTTCAGGAGCCAGAAATGTGTGTCTTTTTCATGAATATGTAAACATTCTTAGGGATTAACTTAGAGATCTGAAAATAGCAAGCTTTCAGTGTTGACTCAATTGGTGTGTGGGCATTAAGGTATAAGCCTCATCAATCATTGCTTTGTTATCATTAGTCATATATTTAAATATATATGTTGTTACTTTATCTCTATGAACTAACTTCAAAACGTTCCTTGAAAAAAATGGAGCTAAAAAGTAATATAATTTTTCCATGAACTTTTGAAGTCCCTTGGTATATGTCTAATAGTGTACACATGCAAACTAGATATACAAATATAAAGAATAATAACAATTAGGAGCACTGCTATATGATGGTATGGCCAATGGAACGTTACAGAAAAGAAAATTTGCTCAGGGGCCTTACAGGCTGCGTGCAGATTTACCAAGCCTCAGAAACCCTGTACAGCCTCACTCAAAGTGGGATTTGCTTTTTGGCTTGAAAATCAAATAATAAGCAATTTGGGGTAGAAGACCATATTTAAGGTATCTTTGGATTTATGGTCTGTTCGCCATTACTTTTTGCTCCACTTGCTGTGGTCGCACAACAGGGTGCTCACTTGGATGCTAACCACAAGGTCAACAGAAACCACCTGGTGCTCTGAGGGAGAAAGAGGTACTGCCTGGGAAATCCACAGGGATGGCTCTCCCCTTTCTCGTAGGGTCCCTATGAGTCAGCATAGACTCCATGACAGCAAGTTTTTGTCTCCTGGTATGAATTTGGCGCTGGGTCAACACAAAAGCAAAAACAAACCTTCACCAGTGACTAAATGGAAGGCAAGCCAAAGGAAGGACATCAGAGAATTCAGAGCAGAAATCGCTGCATTTGACATCAACAACAAAAGAAAGTATTTCATCAACGAAATCACATCGTGTTCTTTGACAAGCCTAACAATAGTTCTAGGTCTCATTTCCGAGTGACCTAGGAAAACAAGAAAGAAGAATCAAATCACTCTCAGAAGCAAGAGCAAAGGGCTCTTACCACAGACTGCAACCCCACTGAGGGACAGTGAACAACTCTGGTCTGACGCATGGAGGCACTGTGTACCTCAGAATGAAGCCCCGCCCTGACCGTCGCTGTCCCCACCACTGTTGCTAGGTGTGAGCCCTGTGTCAGTGGCCCTCATGGAGGGTCTTCCTCTGTTTCTCTGACCCACCACTTTGCCAAGCATCATGGCCTTCTTCAGGGACATGTCTCTCCTGTTAGCATTTATGAAATGAACTCTTGCCACTCTTGTTACTCAAGAGTATCCCAACTATAGCTCTCACAAGATGGACTTATCTCGTTTCTTGGCAGTCCGGGATGCCTTCAATATTTTGTTTTTTTAAATATAATTTATTGTGTTTGGGTGAGTGTTTACATAGCGGATTAAGTTTCCATCAAACAATTTCTCTACATATTGTTCAATGATATTGGCTACATTTTTCACATTATACCAACATTCCTTTTTTTAATAAACCATTTTATTGGGGGGGGCTCTTACATAGATTATAACAGTCCATACATCCATTATATTAGGCGAATATGTACAAATATTACCATCAACAACTTCAAAACATTTTCTTTATTTTTGAGCCCCTTGATATCAGTACCTCTTTTTTCCCTCCCTCCCCTGTCCTGCCACCCTTGCAAACCCTTAATATATTATATATTGTTATTTATCCATATCTTACACTGCCCCCTCTATCCCTTCACCTGCAATCCTGGCATGCGACCCCTTCGAGGGGGCTTATTTCACAATCATTACTACCAGTTGCCCCCAGACCCCTATGCCCATTCCCCTACCCTTCTGAAGCTGTTACGCCTGCTTTTGAGTGGGAGGTCGACCCTGAATTCCATAAATTGAAGGCTCTTGTCTGTATGTATGATGGCCTACCTGGATTTGCGAGGTAGGACTGAGATCATAATACTGGAGGGGGCTGACAATTAAGGACCTAAAGAAGTGTGTGTGTTTTTCGGTGCTATACTGCCCCACTGGATGTATCTTCTCTTCCGTGTGGCACCTATCAGCTAGAATGTCCAATTATCTCCGGATGGGCTCTCTACCTCAACCACTCTCCTTCACCTCGGTGAGGTTGTTTATTTTTGAACTCCTGATGCCTCTCTGTAGTTTCTTTCTGCTAGATTATGATTGCTCCTACCCCTCCAGGAACGCTGCACCCCCTCACACCCTCGATTTTAGAACCCTAGGGGTTCCCTTATCCATGACCATATTTGCTCGCCATGCCCTTTTCCCTGCCTTATCGCTTTCTCCTTGGGTTTGCTTCGCATGCCTATTTTATCTCGAAAGTCAACAGAAACAGCACAGACAGGACTAGAAAAACAAAACCACCTAAAAAGAAAAATGAAAGATAAAGCAAGAGAGAAAAACCATACATGATTTTTTCCCTCATGAGTCTTCACCAAAACCATACGTTAAACACATCACTGCTTTTGTTTTCCTATGCTCTATGCCGCTTCCGCGTGCCGATGAGGAGACTGAAAAGAACCTAGTTTGAGTCCGACACACTTTAGTCCGCAACGCGATGCCTCTGCTTTGTAACACGTTAAAGAGGTCCGTGGCAGCAGATTTTCCCAGTGCAATACATCCTTTGATTTCTTAACTGTTTCATCCCTGGGCTTGTAATCACACTCCCCAGCAACGATTCTGTCCTGGGGTCATTGCATCCCTTTCTACAACACTCCTGGCGTGATGGGTGATGACTGCTTCAACTGCCTCCCTGAACTGTCAGACACCTTGGCTTCTTCTCACATTTTGGATCTATCTTAATCTAGCTAAAGATTTCCAAGATCATACCTGGGTCTTGTTGATTCCTACAGCGAGGCTATTGTCAGAAACTACTTAAAGCATCTACTCTCCCTCTGCCCCTACCAACTGAGCTGTACTACGCCCTCAGGAAGACCTACAGTCTTCTCAATATCCATCTACCAGATTTCTGTACAGAATTATCCCCATAAACATGTACAAAGAATCCATGCCCCTCCACTCAAGCTACCCCGTGAATCTGCTGTTCACTCTTAGTTTGCTGTCAGCAGAATTCATGTAGCCCCCTTCAGGCTTCTTCTTAAGCTGAAGTCTTATCCTTCAGAGTGCCTCAAATTATATTCTGTTCAGAAAAGTTAGTACAAGTTTATTTTGGTTCAAAACATTACTTGAAACCCATGCATAGTTCTTTCCAAATATACATATTCCGTGGATCATTTGGAGATCACTAGTATCCGACTGGTGTCATCAAAAAAAAGAGATGATATACCGTATATACTTGAGTATAAGCCGAGTTTTTCAGCACATTTTAATGCAGTTTTTGTGGTAAAATTAGGTGCCTCGGCTGATATTTGGGTCGGCTTATCCTCGAGTATATACGGTATATCAGTAGTTAGAGAGCCTTCCTGTGTTTCATCTTAGAAGAACCTATACGCCCAGGGCCAGCAGCCATCATACTAATAAAGGACTTTGAAGTTTATAATGGCGTGTTCATAGCCAAAGGCAAGCAGTAAAGATGACAGGATTAGAATACTGACTACTAAGTCATGAACTCTCCATAATAGGGACATAGAATAGGCATATATTTATATCACTGAAGTGGCAGATCACAGGATCGGCAAGATTTCCTAATTTGTCTTTGGAATTAGTTAACTTTGACAAACAATGATTTCAACAAACATCAACATTGAAGCTTTTTTCCTCCCCAATGTTCAATTAGGTATTCAATTGACAGGAACACAGACTTGGAGAGATACTTCAATATCGATGCCAACAGTGGAGTCATTACAACCGCCAAGTCTCTGGACCGAGAGACGAATGCTGTTCATAACATCACAGTCCTCGCAATGGAGAGCCGTAAGTTACAAGGTCAAAAACTAAGCTAGGACAGAGACACTGGGAGCAGAGATCAAGTTAGGAGGTTCTTCGTGCAACTTGAGCCATCATCATTGCTTCTCTGAACTGAAGAAAACTTGAGAATTACTCGTTTTTAAGCTGCGATATGTAATTATATCCACTCGCGGGGTTTGCTACTATTTACAAAGTTTGTTAAAAGAGATGCCTACCACAGAGTGGCCCTGGGTGACCTTCAGAGAGCTTCTTGTCTTGTCCTCTTTCCCATGTTCTGTCTGTACTGATGTGGAGCAGATGAGATTACTTTGTTAACAGAAAGCAGTGCATTGATAACGAACACAAACACCCAGTCTTGTAAATTCTGAAAATGGTCTAATTTTAGTTTCTGATAAGAAAATCATTTAAATAAAATACATGAATGTATTTTATATTGAACCCTAGTCGTGGTGTCAAGGAAACATAGAATTACTAACTACATGGTTGGTAGTTCAAACCTACCAGCTACTTCTCAGAGAAAATGATGACTCTAGGTTCCCATAAAGG